CAAAAGCATTCTGTCAAATAGGAGCGGAGAAGTAATCCAGGGCCAGACTGCTTGTGTTAGAATCCTAGTAAGCTATGTAACTCTATAGCCCTCAGTTTTGAATTTTTTTTTTTTTTGTAACACGAATTTAATTATTTTGACTTAAAAAAATTAGATAGTGTGTGGTCATTAACTCAATAAACGTTTATTGTGTGACTCACACTGACACTGTTCTAGGCACTGGGGATAGAGCAGTAAATAAAACAGACAGAAATCCCTGCCTTCAGGAAGGTTGCATTCCAGTAAAGACCCAGATAGTAAATATTTTAGGCTTTGGTATGGATAGTAGTGGAATGTGGTCAGGGTAGTCCTCACTGAGAAAAAGACCTGAAGTTGAGCCAGGAGATCAGGGGGCATTTAGAGAAAGAATATCCCAGGACAGACTGTCAAATGCAGAATCCCAGAGGCAGTTGTGTACCTGCAGCAGCAGGGTAGACAGTTTGTCTGGAGCAGAGTAAAAAGGATATAAGATCAGAGACAAGATGGCAGGGGGCTCAAATGCCATTTTCAAAACTGATTTTTACTCTGAGTGAGACAAGAAGCCTTTGCAGTTTTAAGCACAGTAGTGACCTGCTCCAGAGCACTAATTTTAATTTTTTGGCCTGAGAAATTGGATAGATGGAGGGGACCAGTAGAGACTGTAAGAAGGGAAGTAAGGAGGGTCAGAGTCTCGGGTATAGAAAGATTATTTTTGAAATACCTATTGGGTATCCAAGTAGAGATGTGAGGAAGATAATTTCTGCAAGAGTCTCGAGATCCAAAAAGAGGTTTTAAATTCAGGATATAAATGTAAGTGTTGTCAACCCATCGACTGTATTTAAAATCATGAAACTGGTGAAATCACCAAGAAATTACATTTGGAAGGAAAGAGAAGAGGTCCAAGCATTGTGCCCTTGGGTACTCCAAAAGTAGGGACCCAGGGAGATGAGAAGATAGCGGAAAAGGAGATGGAAAAGGGCAACCGGTAAGATAGGAGGGAAACCCGAAAGAGCAGAGTTGCGGAAGCCAACTGGGAAAGTATATACTGGAAGAGGGAACAAGCAGTCGCATCACTTGCACCCAAGGGTCCATGCAAAATGAAGACTGAGAACTGAACCGCTGTTGTAGCAGCATGAAGACCTTTAATAGCATTGAAGAGAGCAGTTTCGGGGAAGTAGTAGGAATGAGAGCCTTGTTGGAGCAAGGTCAGAGGAGAGCAGGAAGAGAGATATTCGAGATACAGGGTACACACAGCTTTTTCAAGGAGTTTTTGTGGGTTTGTTGTTTGTTTTTTTATACAGAAGGAAAGCATTAAGATGATCATTGGAAGGGAAGTGGATCAAGAGAGGCTTTGGGGTGTTTTACTTTAAGATGGCAGAAACAACAGCATTTCTGTATGCTGGTAGAAAAGCTCCAGGGGAAAAAAGAAAAAGAAAATGAAAAAGAGAAAAGAAAAGAAACAAGGAAGAAAGAATGAATTACTGGACAGTCCCATGGGGGGAATGAGATCTGATGCAGAAGTGTGCATGAGTGGGTGGGTGGGTGGTCGGGTTCACACTCTGCCATGTAAAATGCTTAACCTGGTGCTTAGCACTAAAAAAAAGTCCAAAAGGGACAGATATGAAACCACTCACTGTCAATTAAAAGGGTTTTGCTAACATGATCCTACAGTTCCAGTGCAGCCACAATATTTGGTAGATTAATGAAAATAAGTTGAGTAGAATAATGAAAACAAAACAAAGACATTTAGAAGCAACGTTGAATCACATTGACTAGCCTCCAGGATATTGGTCTAAAGGTAAACAGAGATACCTGAGTGAAAGTAGGAAGAATCACAGATACCGTTTACATTCGATTCATGAGGTGAGTCTGACAGGACCAGGATCCCACAAGGTACTTGACTCCTTGTAGATGCTCTGAGTTGATTAATTATCTTTGCCCTTTATAAATTCAGCATGATGAAAAACCCCTGTCTCTTGCCTCACAAGTACTGCATGGTATAATGTTATTTCCATGCTCTTTTCATGTTCTTCCACTGAATTTTATACTGACTTATAAAGGCTAAGCTGTAGGGCAGAGCTGTGATAGAAGACCAAACAAAGGAAGGTGGGTGGTAAAAGCATAACTGCCACTTCCACTGGGAAGAAAATGGGGTCAAAGCAACTACGATGTAAATTGTGTTCCCAATATTAAAATAAATCTAACACTTATGAAAAATGTATCAGCAAACATGTGACTTTATGAAACCATACTTTGTTATTTAATACAAGTATCTTTTTACTATTATAAGAATTGTGCTTTGCTGAGGTCAGATAATAAATTTCAATAAATCTCAATTCCTCGCTTGTTTCAATATAAATTTGGAGATGCGTTCCTTTGGAAAGACTTGAGCCCCCAGGTATAATAAAATCATATTTAAGAATGTAGCAGTGTGGGGCACCTGGGTGGCTCCATCGCTGAGTGGCCAACTTCAGCTCAGGTCATGATCTCCTGGCTTGTGAGTTCAAGCCCCACACTAGGCTCTGTGCAGACAGCTCAGAGCCTGGCTCCTGCTTCGGATTCTGTGTCTCCCTCTCTCTCTGCCCACCCCCAACTCGTGCTCTGTCTGTCTGTCTCTCTCTCTAGGATAATTAAACATTAAAAAAATTAAAGAATGTAGCAATTTGGCAGCATGTAATTACAGAAAAAGCAACTTTTGGAAGACATTAATAAAAGTACTAAAACTCCTTATTTTTACAATGGTCAACTCAAAACCAAACCATCAAAATCATTAAAAATTCAGGAAAGCTCTAGAAATCCACTGTTGTGACCTTTTTCTCTTCACAATTGTTCTCATCTAAGAATAACAATCACTAATATGATAGAAACTATCAGTTTAGCTTTTATTTAACTCAAGCCCCTGTGCCTATGATCCAGGATTATCTTTTACATTTTTTGCATGTTTCAAATTTGTAAAGTTTCTTTCTTGAACTCTGCACAACAGTTTTAGTACAATGTATACATTGTCCCTAAAGAGAAAACAGTAGACTGAAATGTTTTAGGGGGTCTGTGGCCAGGACATATAGAAGCTGGTGCCTATTAACCGACAGGCATATCGATGCTGGCCACCTGTTGCTCAACCTCATCATTTATCTTGGAGTTAGGCAAACTATACCAAGTCCAGCCTCCCATATATTTTTGGAAATAATGTCTTATGGAACACAACCCCATTCATTTGTTTACTATTGCTTATCGCTCCTTCCACAAGGCAAAGTTGAGTAGTTGTAAGACCACATGGCCTGCAGAGCCTAAAATATTTACTATCTGACCCTTTATAGAAACACGTTTTCCCATCCCTGGTTTACCTAATGGTTGGTATCCTCATTAACCAATGTTTGTTGAGAAATAGATACATACGCATATGGTAACGGGAGGAGGAATCAGACAGATTCTATGAATATGTGTGTGCTGTCTTTGAGAGGGAGATTTTTTACATTTTTCATTGATTTCACAAATTCAGAATTTATTAAATGGGTTTCTGTTAGGTGACAGGTACCTACCCGTCAAGTAGACTTCCTTTTTAGGTAGTCATGAGAGGAAAATTTTTCCAAGTGTTTCTATCAAAATGCATATTTTGAAATTCACTTTTGTCCCCTCTTGTCTGTAATTTTTATAACTTTTTCTACTTCTTATATATTCACACAACATCAAAACCTCCTACCTCACTTTGTCTTATCATTAAACTAGGGCTTTGAAAAATGTAAGAGGGTTCTTAAAAGATTAGTTATTCCTCAACTATTGTCATTTATTTTTAAATGTCGGTGGACAGCTCCTTTCCAATACCATTTGTGTAAGAAGAAATATATTGAGCTGAATAACCCTCCAAATGGTGATATTTCTTTTCCATTGTTAATTTTGAAAGTCCTAATTTTTGTCTGTCCTGAGCAAGAATCTAAACATTTTAATTCTTTCAACAGAGTACCATAGTAAGTTTATAGCTGCTGTGCCTTAGACAACCTATACTTAGGGAGAGGAAATTTCCAATTCAATTTACAATGATGTCAAGAAACAACACATATCTGCAGGCATAGATAAGAAAAACATTCAGGGGTACACAGTGATAGGTCTACTTAAATAAATAAAACTTTTGGTACTAGTGATTAGGTACACAGGATTATTATATGTTTAATTGGCTAACGTTACAATTTGGAATTACTTCTAGTCACATTTAATTGGATTTGGAATCTCTGGAGAAAAGAAATAGAGAGGCCCAGCAGAAACAGTCATAAAAGTAAACTGTTTTTCCAAAGGGTGCTAAGCAATGAATTAATATCAATTGCACAATAGTTTTTAATATCTTCTCAGCTTAATAAGACTAATTCAATGGTTGTACACACTAGATACTAAAACCAATTCAATTAAACACAAAAGTTGGGGGAGGGGAGTGTTTGTTGAATTGGAAATTTTTATTTTTACTTTTAAGGAGGCCAATTTAATCAGAGGTAAATAATCTTTAATTCAGGTAAAGTCTAAGATATGCTTACATGGCAGTACAATACTTAGCTACATATGCTATGTTAGGTTTGAAGGCATTTTAGAGTCCATAACATATGTGTTGCTCTATAAAGGTTTTGAAGCTTAATAAGGGGCAACCAAAACAATGCATTCCTTCATAGTCTTTAAATATTCTTATACTGTGCAAACAGAAAAAAAACATCTAGAATACAAATGCTGTTTGCTTCTTATTCTTTTAGCTTAGATTACAAAAAAGAAACCAAAAACAAAAACAAAAAAACAAAAAACAAAACCCAGAAAGCAAAAACAACCCTATTTTCTACATCCTAAAATTTGCTTGGGCTTTGCTCAATATTAGTCTAGTCAAATTTTATATATTACAAAATCTTCTTCTTCAGTATTTATATATACTACCTGTTATGGTTTTGTTCTGTCCTATAAATTTTTTTGTTTTTTGTTTTTTGTTTTTAATTTGTCCTTGTTCTTAGGAGTGCCATGATTGCTGACTACATGTTCTGGCTCTGTGGAGGAAGTGAACAGTGTATAAGCAAGCTCATCAAACTGTATTGGCAGGTAAAAATTTATATCCCAGTTAGGGAGGAGGAACCCATCTCATTTTTAGAACCAAAATGAAGAATTGGTGCTTAAATGACTGCTGAAGAAAGTAGCTTTGGCCATATCAATCAGAAGGACACCACTCAGTAGTAATGTATTTATAATGAAGTAGACTTTCTGTGACTTATTTTAAGGGCAAAATTCAAGGTTGTTAACCCTTGGCCCATACTTCAGTTTTACAACCCAATATAAATTTTAGACATCTCAGGAACTATTTTCCCAAGTATGCTGCTATAATGACATGATCCTTTAAAATATGAACATTGTATTCTCATAGATTCTTCTTGATCTATGACCTGTAAAAGCAGATGCTAGAAGTAATATCAATTACATAATAAAGGAAAATGCAAAGATCAGTTGTATTTGTTGAGTAATATTTAGTGTTGGAACACTTAACTAGTAACAAACTGCAGATCTTCTTTCTCATTTATTATTCAAAATGGCAGCAAGAAGTCATATCAAAGGTCAATGAGATCCCAAGAAGAGAGTCATAATTTCTTAAATTATAAAGAGAATTTAGAATTTACTAGTTCAATCTCCTTTACAACATACAAATCTATTCATTTCCTGTCCTCTCTGAGCAAATTGTTGATGACTTTCTGCTGAAATAGATCCAAAACGAAGAGCTCATTTAAGCCCAAGAAACAACATCCAATTTGCTAATTATTAAACTGTTTTCCTCATATGAAGTGGATTTCTACTCCCTTAAAACTTCAATCCAGTGGTTCCCAGTAGGGCAACATGGACAAAATGGAAACACATTTCCAAATGAAATTTTTTCAACTATTTGAAAATGAACTACAAAAGCCAGCTCCCTCCTCCATATCTTCTCCTCTCCAGACTGTATGGGGCATTTTATTCCTCATACTTCAAGATATTGAATTGAATTGAATTGAATTGAATTGAATATGAACCTTTTGAACTAACTAGAATAAGATCTGCTAAAACACAAATATGAAAGGGAGAAATAATCATCAATAATCTTTGATACTTCCTGATTTTTCCCATATTTTCACTACTGTGTCTTGGCCCATTTTCTGTTTTTATATCATGTATTTATTAGAAAATAAAGTATTAGATTTATCATGTAAAAGGCTCACTAGTTTATATGGTTCCATCTAAATATTTGGAGTTTTAGCCTACTATAAAAAATAAAGGTTTACATTAGTCCTACTATACTTGAGACCTGTGACTATTGGAAAAAAACTGACCTTCTAGTAAACAAAATTTTAATCTCAAAAATATTTTTAATTTGCTCAGAGGTTAAAAATCTTCCTAATGGAATCTGTAACATGCAAAACAGCAGCACTTATAGTCATGTAATTAAATAGTTGTAAAGAATTGCTAGATGTAAAAGATAAGCAAATAATATGGGCTTTGATATAATAAAGGAAGAAGACTTTTTATTAAAGGATTTCAGAAGCTTCTGGAGAGAAGTGGGAAAGGAGTTGAATCTTAAGGGTTAGATAACATTCAGCAAGCTTGGCATATAGTAGGTCCCAAATAAATGTTTGATTTAATTTGTTCATTCACTAAACAAACAAATATCAACTACTTCCTGTGTTTTCTACATTGAACTAGGAAAAAATAGGTCTAGTGTTGGTACAACCTAAGACTGGTTAAAACTAACTGTAAATAATTTTTTTTCTGTTCCCTTTAGCTTTCAAAGAACACTAATACCCCCATTTTATTTACATCAAACTAAGAAAATAATCTCCACTTACCAATACATGCATATTTGCTATACAAAAAGGAAGAAAACAAATACTATTATTTAATTATCCTGTATTAATAAAAGATAAGAAAAACATATTTTTCTTTATATTCTCTTTTTTTCTTTTATTTTTATTATTATTTTTTTTTTTAATTTTTTTTTTCAACGTTTATTTATTTTTGGGACAGAGAGAGACAGAGCATGAACGGGGGAGGGGCAGAGAGAGAGGGAGACACAGAATCGGAAACAGGCTCCAGGCTCTGAGCCATCAGCCCAGAGCCCGACGCGGGGCTCGAACTCACAGACCGCGAGATCGGGACCTGTCTGAAGTCGGACGCTTAACCGACTGCGCCACCCAGGCGCCCCTATTATTATTTTTTTAATCCCCATCACCTGTTTAACCCATCACCCCCACCTACCTCCCTTTTAGCAACCATCAGTTTGTTCTCTATAGTTAAGAGTCTGTTCTTGTGTTTGCCTCTCTTTTTCTCTCCTTTTTTTCCCCTTTGCTTGTTTGTTTTGTTTCTTGAATTCCACACATGAGTGAAATCATATAGTATTTGTCTTTCTCCGACTAACTTATTTCACTTAGCATTATACTCTCCAGATCCATCCATGCCGTTGCAAATGGCAAGATTTCATTGTTTTTTTATGGCTGAATAATATTCCATTGTTTATACATACCACTTCTTCTTCTTTATCCATTCATCAGTTGTTGGACACTTGGGCTGTTTCCATAATTTGGCTATTACAGATAATGCTGCAGTAAACATCTTGGTGCATGTATCTCTTTGAATTAGTATTTTTGTATTCCTTGTGTTAATACCTAGCAGTGTAATTGCTGGATCGTGGGGTAGTTCTAGTTTTAACTTTTTGAGGAACCTCCAGACTGTTCTCCAGAGTGGCTGCACCAGTTTGCATTCCCACCAATAGTGCAAGAAGGTTCCCCTTTCTCCACATCCTCACCAATACCTGTTGTTTTTTTGTGTTATTGATTTCAGCCATTCTGATAGGTGTGAGGCAATAATCTCATGATAGTTTTGATTTGCATTTCCCTGATGAAGAGTGATGTTGAGCATCTTTTCATGTGTCTTTTAGCCATCTGTATGTCTTCTTTATAAAAATGTCTATTCATGTCTTCTGCCCATTTTTAATTGGATTATTCATCTTTGAGGTATTGAGTTACTCTTTTTCTCTCTTTTAATTTGAAGCAACTTGGCATACTGGAAAAGAGCCTTTGTTTGGAAATCAGGTCTGACTCCATCTAAGTTCTAACACCAAATAGCTATCTAACCTAAGGCAAGTTAGTTTTTAGAAGAACTTCAGCTAGAAAATAAGAGAGACCAGCAGAAAGTGTTTGGGAAGGTTTATTCTCAAAGCTCATTTTAGCACTGAAATCTAATATTTTAAGCACATCCAAAAATGATGTCACATATATTAAGATAGAAAGAAATGACATAATTAGAAATTTCATCCTGCAGATAAAGTCCATAAATTAAACCCTACTGACTAGCCTCAATAGAAGCACACCACACCATTCTCACCAATTACATACTTCCTTATGTGAGCCTGCCTCTCCCTGATCTTAAATTAAATGTATACATCTCCCCCCCCCCCAAACCTTCTGTCCTAAATCAAAAGGGGCTTTTGGACATTGCCAGTGAGTGCCCAATCCATGCCATCTTTAAACACAGGGAGACAGGGATGCACCGCCACCCAATCCACCATGACAGTTACACTGCTGAATTTAAGAATGCCCTCCAAACATCACAGACAAGAAACTGTATCTTCATAAACATTCATAGACATCAATGAAGGCTTAGAGGCTATTTTCACTACTTTTGTAGAGGATGAAGTTACTGTATATCTTCCTTTCAACCACATAAAATGCCTACCATTCTGATCAGTTATTCTTCTCAGAGGTCTTAAACAGGAAATGGAAAATTTCAGTATGTAAAAATGTGAGAACCAGTCTACACCTACTCTCACAGATGGTTGGCTTATAAGCCCTTGGATACAAAAGAACAGACCTTCGCTTTGGTGAGCTCAAGAATGCTTTTGAATTGTATTAGGAATGGTTTTCATATCATCAACCCAGCAAGAAAAAAAGGCATACAAATCTACACTACATGAAAGCTCACATCAGAATATATCACTCTGAATAAAAGTGTTTGCACATGTTATTCTATAATAGCATCACTTCTTCAGAGCTAGAGAGGGTTGGAAATAACTTGTCACAACTGTACTTACATGCATGCCTCTGCAACTCGATACCCAGTCTCCTATTATCAGCCACTCTCATTTTCTGAAACACCTTGAGACCTCATCACAATTCTGAACTAATTAACAAAACGGAAATTCCCTAATCAGGCTGAGAATTAGCTCTTTTGAAGCAGTGACCACTATGTATTTATACACTACTCCTAAAGTAACAATTTTATTTCAAGATTTTTTACAGTAAACTGGAGTCCACCTCCTAAGCCACTTGCCCCTTAGATCCAGGGCTAGATTTAATAGCATTTGGAAACGAAACTCCCTCTTCTTCCATTCCTATTTCCCTTTCCTGGTTTCTCACCTTCACTTTCTGCCATGCTGTCAGCCACATGGATTTTCTGGTGTGTGGCTTTATCTCTTGCAGTGTGAGTAACAGAACCAATTCTGGTTTGCACTGCTTAGCAAAATGGAGTGAGAAAAGATAACAGCTAATTCTGTTGCACAAGTCCCACAAAACAAGCACAGAGGAGCCCCCACTAAACAGGGGCAAGCTGCTTGATCAACCCATTCTTCACCTTAATAGTTTCTTTTCAAATTTCTTTCTTTCTTTTTTGAATGACAAACCTCTCTGAGAATCTGATTCAATTTACAAGCATCCACCTAGAAACAGTACTCATAAACATAAACATGGGAAAAAATAGGCTTACTATTTATCTCATTATATTGGAAATTGATTTACACATAGAATACTGAGAATTATAGGTTTTTCACTCTTATGAAAAGGTTATGCAATTTTTCTGGGATAAGAAATTAAAATGTATTCAACATCTCATCAATGTCAATATTTCACTTTAATGGCAATAACAGGTACAACCCTGATTCACGAAATCTCTAATAGCGAATGGAATCAGAGCTCCTGTAGCTCACAAGATCTCATATGGATAGGCAGGCATCAAGAATAACCAAAATTCATATTACATCATTCCCTTTGTGTTCAAGTCAATGAGATTATCTTTGCTAAGTCTATATC